CACAGTGTAAATAAAACATTGTATATTTTCATTAAACAAATATTACCATATATATATATAACAAGTAACATTAAAATAAATATTATTAAACTTTTAGTGAACAAATGTTTAAATTCTTCTCTTTGTAATTACATGGAATGACTAGTTCCACGGCTACAGATCCAATAAAAGAACATTTTTTCGGAGAAAAACATTATGCGCTTATTATATTTTTCACAGATTGCTTACAGAAAAATGCGGAAGTTATTTTATAGCCACGACGAAGAAAAAGTTTCCAAAAACTATAATAAAAAATATTATTGTGATATAAAACAACTCCTTTTTTCTGAACACATTTGTACGCTGCATACTTTTAATGTACAATGTTATGCTTAAATCCGAATAGTCTATAGAAAATTAAAAAAATTCCTAAATTTATTCCAGTTTGTTCTCAAATAGCGAACTACTAATTTCAATTATAGCCTAAAATTAGAGAGGTAATAAAATTGTTGTTGAGGTTAATAACGTTTCACAAAATTCATTATAAAACTGGAAAAACTACCACACTTAAAAATGTAATAGGTTTTTGACGTTACAACTTTATCAGTCATAAAAACAAGGTATTTTTTTGCATAGGTTCAATAGTATTTTGTCTATTGGACCGGTATACGCGTCTAAATAGATTTTTAAATCTTTAACATTATTATTACTAAACATAGGTTCATATATAGTTCACTGTAAAATTTAATTGTTTTTCTGATATGGTTAAAACTGAAATATCTCTTATCCGTTTATAATTGTTCTCAAATCGTGTTGTTTATTCCATCAAACTTGAACCAAAACACAAATAATATAATTATTTTTACTGATTGCAAGCTTAATGCGAATCGTTAATTGGTGTTTTATAAGGCATAGATTTTTTCTATTGAAAACTATAATAATATTCTATAATACTAAACACGCCAAAGCAACGAATTATTAAAATAGACCCAATTGGCTTCGTCAAATCGAACTAGCGTGTTTATGCGATTTAATCATATTTGAAATGTTTGGGAAACGATAGTGAAAATAACAAACATTAAAGAATGTTTGAGTTTAAGTAAAATTGGTGAAAGCAGATGTCATTACTTATTTGCATATTTATTATTTTATTTGCGAGTAGCAATATTTTAGCTATTATAGTACGGTTGATTTTCAAAAAAACCTTGTTTTATAAACTATAAAATTACAAAACTAAATGTTTTTAAATGTTTCGTTTATAAAATATAAATTCCTTTGAGAAGTTCGATAAACAGTTATTTATTTAACTTTACATACTTATGCTGTGTAAACATGGTAACAATGAAGTTAATTTTGAGAAAGTTTTCACATAATTTTCATATTTTTATATCTTTATTGTACTTTATTTGTCATGACTACAGCAGGTTTATACGCAGCAATACTTTGGCTGCTTTAGAACAGTTTATATTATGTTTCTAGTAACTATTCCAATGTGTGTGCACGTTAAATATAAATTATTTGATTACTTTGAACTCAAAAAGTTATTGACCCGAAAATGACCCTATTCATTTAGGCATGTCCAGATTCTTTTAACTTGAGTTACTCCTGTAACAAACTATTTCATTTCAAATACTAATTACTTATCTAAAATGCTATAAAAACATTTAAAATCTCTCGTTTTTCTTTTTGTCCATTTTGTGACTCTAAGATTTATGATTTACGAGCCCATTAGTGATAAATTTACTACACGAAAGACATAAAACACGTCTTAGCTTTGATAGTTCAATATCAGCGGTGAATATACTTAAGTTTTAATTAGATCCAAGTCTAGTTTTGTAAAAGCTAGTAGAAACCTTGAAATCGTACGAGGAAACTTAAAATGATTTTTATATTTTTTAAATGAATTTTAAAAAGATCTATCGACGGGATAAGAAGTAATACATCGTGCATTTGAATTTTTAATTTGCCGCAGAGACAAGTTGGCATTCACTGCAAACACAACTCTGTGCCTATTTCGCACAAGTAATTATTGATCCTTGACAAACAAAACCTGTTTTCATTTAATTTTGCATCGAATACCACTCTCTTCTGTACCCTTGGCCCACGCCTACCGCGTTTCAGCCTGTGCTTCGACCACTACTCTTAACACGTTGTTTTTATCATTTAGGCCGTTTCTCGTTGACTTTTCGCGCGGTGGTGGTGTTTTCCTTGCCTACGGGTACAACTGTTTAGGCACAGATGGTATTTGACCAATCAATGGGCAACCGACTAGTGTCGAACTGCAAACGCACCGCCTTATTTTCAAAATGGTCGACGTCGTCATGGTCCTGGTTTTCTTGTGTTGTAGGCCTTCCACCGTGTCACATCCACCGCCGCCGTCACCGCCGTACCCACAGACGTCGTCCGAGCCGCAGTTTACCTTTTTCGTTTTCTATTGAAATAGTCATAATCGAACATGAACCATGAAACGTACATCTATTTTTTTGCTGTCTTTTTTACATCCAACAAATGCGGTAATCGTTGGCTAGAAGGGGCAGTTTGCTGGTGGACGACGGTGTAATGCGACACGCCTATATAATATTTCACGGCGTGTTTTAATGATTCCCCCGCCGCACTGAATTCCGGTGCCGTGTACGAATGGTTAACTGGAGCGGCCCGAAAGACAATACTTCGGCGAAAGAATTGTGTTTCAACAACATCGACTATTAATTAGTACGCATGCCGGTACCTATCCATTGACCAATGCAACAGCCAGCGATTTGAACAAACGTTGACCGCGTACACGTTAGTGGTAACTCTAAAAACAATAGACGTCAGCATGTTTTGTTGAGAAAACGTCCGTCATAATTAATCAACGCTGTTTTTATTATTAATATTTGTACTCTGTTTACTCGACTACTTTCAACCAACCCAGTTACGTGCAAAATGGAAGCTGCTATGATCTATTGTATAGGCTGGCCAGTAAGTAAGGAAACGGGTTTTTATTGTTCTCATTGTTTGCAACAATTGACATGTTTCCTTACTTACTGGACACCTTGTATAATTTATCTATATTAAATTGCCTACAATGAGGCTATTAATGAAAAAAAAAAAAATCCATGTCCTCAACACTAGTATAATTATAAATTATAAAATCTAGGATGTGTATTGAATACATTCAGTATGATTTTTTAGTTGAAGGTACATATTTTTATGAGGACAAATACAAGGGCAATTCCTTTATCGTGATGAAACACAGTCATTATTTATTTTATTCTTTATTATCTGGTTTCATGTACTAAACTATTATTTATTATTTTATTCATTCATTTATTTGTTATTGTGTGTAAATTGATAGTTTAATCATTTCTGATGCATTATTGCAATTCCAGAAGTTCATAAAATTACATTGAAATGAGTAAATATAAAGTATAAAGTATGAAACTTGTGCTTTTTCAAACTAAATAAAAATCAATTAAATATTGTTGACAAGTAACATTCTTGTTTTCAATGTAGTTTGAAACATAAGTTTTCACTTAACTAAACAATCACAAAACATAAATTATACATATCAAATATTAGAACGTTAATAAGCTATTATTATTATGCTGTAAGTTTATTCGTCTTAAGAAGAAAGTTGTTTTGTAGGCATTACATTTTTCGTTAGCGTATAAAAATTAATGGACAATGGTTAGCAATTGTAATCTTTTATTGGATCAAAAAGACTTAATATCATTGAGACATTTTCAAAATAATGTATTTTCTTATTTTAAGATATTATAATGTTTACAATTTTTTGCAGCGTATAAAAGTAAATTTAAAGATATAATTATATTACAATATTATCTTCTTTCACTGTACAGTTTGAAAAAATGTTTTGGTGGTCGCCGACGCGGCGTACACCTTTGATATATAAGCGCTTTAGTTAGTCTTATGTGTAATAAGCAGATAATGTCGACAAAATTATAATCGTATCATATAAACGTGTGAGGTCTGGGAATTACATTGTTCTTATACCTTAAAAACTATGCATTTTTTGATCTAAGATAATTACAATAATCTGATTGTCCTAATTTTCATTTTTTTTTTTTTTATCTTGTCCTTGTTTCTAATGTTTGGTAAAAATGACTAGACATTTTTTTTGAGTAAAATTTAAAACCGTATTAAAAAGTAGTATATTTTCAAGAAATATTTAATTCTATGCATAATTTGTATATATTTTTTTTAATTAAATTTAAATATTTTTGTATTTAAATAATGATTAAAGAATATATTTTTAAATTCTTATTACTTATGAAGTAATTTAGGTAGTCACACATTTTATTAGTTTTCCTACGATAACAGTTTTTTTATAGATTAAATTGAAAAATCATTAATAATACAAAAAATGTCTCATCACAACCGTACAGTACAAGCGTCAGTTAATATAACGACTCAACTTAAGTCGTTATGTTGACTGATGTTATTTAAGAAGTAGTTAGCATTAAACTAACAACTTTGTTAGGTTTATCAGTGCGTTATTTTATAACGTTTTTAAGTAAGCAAGTATTTCTGATCTATGAAGAATTAATTTTTTTTTATCATTTTCATAGAATTTATCTGAAAAATGAAATATTAACTTAAACGATGATTATTCAATAGATAACACTATTTTCAATAACAACAACAATATTTTGTATTGCATAGTTTAATTGAATATACAATCATATTTTTATTCGCATTTGAATATTTTTCATGTTTCCGTTCATTTACTGAAGTTCTACAATTGAGTTTGTAGTGAGAAATTAATACAGCCAGCGTCAAATTCCGAACTAAAACATTTAATAAAATCAAAACATTATAATCTATAGTCAATACTATGATAATTATAATTAATAATACTATGGTCTCCACGCCGGAACAAATACAATATTCGAACAGCTTTAATTCACAAACTAATATAGTACACTGTAATACACTTGTCTGTTTTGTTTTTTATTTCATTTCATAATGACTAGATAATAATAATATGTATTTTATAAATATTATTTATATCTGTAAAGGATTGGAAAGGATCGCTGAAGAGTTAATGGGAAGAAGAAAATGGCACCAGTATCAGGATATTTTGGCGAAAAATTATATACTGGAAGAAGAATTGATGGACCAAAGAGAATGGGTTCCCATTAAACCGTGTAATTCATGTAATGTGAACACGAACCTGAGCGCAACTGAACACTCACCTGCAGAACTGGTAAGATAATTTTAAACATTTATTACGTTAAATTAAAAACCATCAGAATCAGTCTAATCGGAATTCAGTGATAATTTTTTTTTTTTATTATATGGGGAACAAAATTTACTTTTATCTAAAACCTGCACATTAATTGAATTGTTTTTTTAAATTTGATAGAATTTTGCAAAAAACCTAATTCATGATGTTTTTTTCAACCCATGTTATTTATTTAGGTTATGTGATCCTATTTGATATGTATCATTATATGTGGATGATTTTTGTGACCGGTAGTGCAACTGTACTGAACTCGTATAAACGCGATCAAAACAAAAGTTGACACGTTATCGCATTTATAATTTTTTTTCTATGACTTATATACAAACCTAAAATTGCCTAATATGTTTTTTATACTTATTATTAATATCGAAATCTATGTCTTTACTCATTTAAGTATAAATTTGCCCTTTGATATGTGTTTTAACGACAGCCAGTAAATAAAATAAATTTAAAAAATAGTAGTTGAAATAATATAATTTTAAGTCGTCATAAATAACCAAACTGCACAATATCAATGTATGCTATGTATTGCTCCCTCCATTTTCATTTTTTTTTTTATATTTCATATCATCAAATTTATGTATATACATAAAGAGTTTGTAGCATTCTATAACAATCATATGATTGTAATGCTTTTTAATTAATGTATTCAAAAGTATATTGACTTAATAAAAACAATTTAAAATTACAGACCATATTATCTGGAGTGGAAACTCAATTCTAACATAAAAATTCTTATGTATGTGTTAATATTTATTCATTGACCTGCATTGTCATTATACTTATTATTTCTGTAATCCGACTACGGTTTTTTTGTTATTTTGAAAATCTGTTTATTTTCAGGAGCCATCGTATGAAACTGGTAGCTTGAGCGGCGGCAGTCGCAACGCAGAGAGTCCAGAACCTGTGACTAGCAGACGTTCTTCTCCAACAGAGCTTTGTCGCGCCGATGATCGATCGCCGCCAACGATGGCCGCGGTCGCATCGATGACGACATCAGCAAGTCCGCTGGATACAGCAGCATCCACCGCTAGTCTGCCACAATGGTTGTTAGCAGCCGCAACCTTAAGGCTGAAGGAGACGACTAGAGGAGGTCATTTTCTACCGAGCAGCAACCGAGAAGAACAACAATTGCCTTTAGATCAACCACTTGATCTAAGCGCCAAAAGCAACATAACTTCAGGTGGAAACGCATCGTCGTCTGCATCGTCTACACCCTGCCAAAGCTCCCCTTCAGAGCTCAAGGCAGTTCAAAGCCCATTCACACCAGATCTCATTGCCACCTCAGACATGGTCAATTCTTTGCACAAACTTTTACCACCTGAGTCAACGTTCCTACCACACCAACCGCTCAAGGCTCCCATTTTAAATTCCAACCGGCATGTGTTCAAGTGAGTTTATTTACATTACATGGTTTTCCTCGAATATTGTAGTATGCATAATAATAATCCTTTAAAAAAAAGCCTTGCCATTAAAAATTCAATAAATCAATTATATTTTTATCAAAAAATTGTAATTCTAATTTTTAATAAATATTATAATTGTTTATATAGGCCAAAATCAAAGCACAGTACGATTGCTGGTCGTAAAACATATACGGAAGAATCTTTACAAGCGGCTCTCAGAGATATCCAAAGTGGAAAACTTGGCACTAGAAGAGCAGCAGTCATATATGGTATTCCGAGATCCACTTTACGAAATAAGGTATACAAGATGGCTCTGGAACGGGCGAATAGGATGAGGGAATCTTCAGATGGTGAAGATCCTAAAGTCAGCATGGCTGAATTACTTCCTATACTGACTGAAGACGACGATGACGACGATCGAGACACAATATCAGCCGGCGAAGAAGATAATAACGTAAAACCCGAAAGAGTGAACCCAGAAATGATCGGATTACAACTTGATTGTGCGGGTACGAGTACAGTGCCACCACCTACAGCTGAAGCTCTACGGTTATTTTTTCAGCAATGCGTTAACAGTAAACTAATACAAAAAACACCGACGGAACGACATCAAGACATAGACCGAAAGTCACCATCGCCTTCCGCTAGGTTGTTACCAACAATGCCACCAGAACTTTGGCCCGCGGCAATGGCTGCTGCAGCAGCTCTCGATCCACAACAATTAGGGGCGTACCTTTCAAGGATGATGTCAGCATCTTCATCGACCGGACAGACTTCGTCACATGTGGCTCACGAGAGCCCTCCAGCGCCACCACTGCCTGACTTTTTAGCAAAATATTCAGTTACAGAAATGATGCGAAAGATGTTGAGTGATGAGCATTACAGTAAATCAGAACACCGAGGACAATCATCCAACGGATGCTTGACTGAGCCCATGGATACCTCTAGAGTAGCCAACGACGATGATTCCAATGCATCCAATGTAATATTGAGAATACCAAACTTCAAGCCTATTGGGTCTAATAACAAAGCAGAGACCATTGAATCTGATAAGGATCATTCGGTAGGTCAACGCCACAGTGGTATAATGTCACCACCAAGGATGAATAGCGCGACTAGAAGTGACACATCTTCACCGCCAACACCCGGTACAACGTCGGCTAACTTGAGAGACGCTATTGCTAAAAGCATTAGTCAGAAATTCCAAGCACCTGATTCGTTACAGGTTGAATCGTTTGCTCGGGCGTATCAGCATTATCAACAGGGTATACCACTGTTTGCCCCTATCGCAAGAAATCACAATAACAACAATTTGTTGGAAGACAGAAAACGAGTATCGATGTCCAGCAATAAATCATCTGCGTCTTCATCGGCAGCTCCTTCCGGATTCCAACAGAGCACATCATCCAACTCAGCGAGCAGCGGTGGTAAAGGTACAAGACCAAAAAGAGGAAAATATCGCAATTATGACCGCGATAGTTTAGTGGAAGCTGTGCGGGCGGTTCAAAGGGGAGAAATGAGTGTTCACAGGGCAGGCTCGTACTACGGAGTCCCGCATTCAACTTTAGAATACAAAGTTAAAGAAAGACATAAGATGAGAATTAAAAAAAGACAGCCCAAAAATTCACCACCAGCAGCATCCATGTCGATGGCTGCCGTGTCGGATCAAGACCGCAAAAAGGATTTGGCTAGACCGAGAGAAAATACACCACCGATAAAATTACCCTCGCACGTGTTCCCGCCTCAGCAGCCTCCGTCTATGACTTCACCCAACGGACTCAAAATATTTGACACAACGCCTGTCGGCCCATACGGACAGCCTACCTTTCCATTTTGGGCGCCTAGTCCGTTCCACTTGCCAATGGATTTCCAGCGTAACCCGGTAGCATTTACGTCGATGTCGATGATGCAGCGCATGCAAGCCGAAAGCAGACTACATCAACAACAAGCGGCGTCCATTGCAAGTCTGGGTAAAAATGCACGCGAAGTGGCCGAGAACTTGTATGATGGCTCGGACAATGGAAGTTTTTTGGATGGTATAATACGGTCCAGTTTAGAAACAGGACTCAAGTCAGCGGCTGCTTTAGTGGCTACGCAAAATGTCAATCGTAGTCCCGAACCAATGGAACACTCGGACGGTGGTAACGGTACAACCGCAAACGAGCATGGTGCGTCTGGTGACTCAGCCGGTTCAGACATTGACGACGAAAAACATGGATCACCACGCCAAATTGAACGATCGGTGGACGAACAACGGCATTCGGACCCTGAACGTAGGAGAAGTCGCTCGCCTGTAGAGAGAAACGTCAAACCCGAAAACGAGGAACAGAACTAATTAAACGGGCTAACACGAGTGAACATGGTTAGGGAACGGTCCGAAAGAGTAAACACAAAAAGTATCCCTTACATGGTAAACGATCGCGTTGAGTTTATTAAAATGTTTTTTTGAGTAAATGCGTGTACAACACATTTTTGGTAATGTTCTTTTGGATTGGCGATAGTTCGTGATCACTAAGTGCAATTTTTTTATAGAACATTATTTAACGACTGTTGATAGTGTGATTTGAAAATATAAAAATCGAATATTGTTGTTTGTATCTACGTTTTTTGTGATAAAAAAAGTAAATGAATTTTTATTTAAATGTTACGTTTTTTTTTTTATATATATTTCAAAAATTGTATTTGTTTTTATTTTTATGCATTGTCGTGTTTAAATTTTTGTAGATGTATACACTTATATTGTGTACATATTATATTCATAGTCTATTAGTTTTATATTACTCTTTTTATTTCTACACGGTCACTTAAGAATGTGTAATATATGCGTATAATAAAAAATATTCAGAGGACATAGTAATCGAGAGTTGATTGTTAAGTGTTTGTTCTAAGATTTTTATCGTTTTCGAACAAAAAGTTTAATTTATTTAATTATAAATGCATATTTATAAATATATAATTAGGGACATTGTTTTTTTGGTCACATGTAAATTGTACATAAACCTAATTGAATAATCACTAAGACTAGACTTATATTATTGTTCCTTTTATAAGCTTCTCGAAAAAAAAATACCCGTTAACATTTGTATTTACTTTAAAACAAGTAAAATAATTTTTATTTAAATTCTTTTTGTTTCGAAAAATTAATATAATATCACTCAAAAGTCTGTATTATTTTTATTCTTTTACGAGAGAAACTCTAATCATATCATTACAATTAAATATAGTGGATAGTTTGTTTTTATATAAATATATATCTATATTATAATGTATGAATCAATTGTGTACAGCGTTTTAACGATAAATAATGAGATTATATTTGATGGATGATCCTAATAACTGTCTGCTCGAGCACGAAGAATGATTTCATCATCAATCGGTTTACATTCCAAAAGAAATTTTGGACTTTGAACTTTATTTTGTAAGGCCTTTTTTCTTTTTTTTTTTTTAACTAGTTTCGATATACTCTTAAATACCCAAAAGACAGTTTTATGCATTCCAAACAATTAATAATATAAATCATACTTACACAATTAGCAATGAATATGTTGTAACAATTTTCCTTTGGTAGAAGGTGAGGGGGGTAAGAAGAGCTTTACAGGACTTAATTTTTTATTTACATGTAAATTTTTTTAGATATAATATTAATCAAATAATTTGTGTTCATTGAAATAAAACATATTTTTGAAATATGATCCACTATTACATTTGTGTACAGTCTTTTTATTGTTATATACCATGTTTTTCTTTTCTTTTTTAATTTAATTTTTAAGACTTCGACATCATATAGTCCTAAAGTAAAATCGTAATTTTTGCGATTAAACAATATATTTTTACTATTATATTATACACTTATGTTTTTTAGATGTATTTTTTTTTTTTGTAATAATAATAATATTTATTATTATTAATATTATTATTGCTGTCAAATTGTCTATAATTTTTACTCTGTACAAAAATATTATTTTTTAATGATATAATAAAAACTTCATTGAGGTCAACTTTTGTACTAATAATATCGCTTTCTTATTATAATTATTATTTATATTTCAAATGTGACTTTTTTAACAAGAAAGAATATTTTTATATTAATATAAGTGAAACAACAATTTTATGAGGTCAATTAATGAGCATAAGTAGCTGATAAAAGACGACACAAAAATACAACTTTATAACTTAAACATATAATTTGAGTAAAATTTTAAAAAAATTTCATACATAATGAAGGTCAATTTTATGTGTTTATAACTGTGTTTTCTTAATATAATTCTATTAATTTAAAAACTGTGAGTTTATTATTTTTAGTCTAGTTTCACATAGTCACTTTTAAGCCAATATTACCAATACAGTACGCCTATTATATTGATGAGATAACGAAATAGATTTGACCTTACTAGTCACCTCTTTTAGTAATATTAGATTATACTATAATTATAACTAAACTAGGAATAATAACACCACATTACCGTGCCTACTGATACCAATGGCTGGGTAACGTGCCTTGTGCAGATTATACTGAACGTATAGGAGAATATTTTATTGCATGAATAAAACTTAGATTGGTGTTATTATCACATTCAATAATATTTTTATTTTATTTTTTGCTGTTCTTCTGTTATTGCAAATATTAAAATATAATTTGAAAAATTATAATAAAAAAATTTGTGATTTCTCAAATTTAACTAATTTATTGATTGAACTAATGTTTCAAAACCATAAGCGGGAATTGTTCGTGCAACTTTGCATTTAAAATTTGGTAAATATTCGTGCTAATATTTTTTTAGAATTATTATTTATTTATCCCTCAACACATTTATATAATTGAAAGTGAAATATTTGTCGGTTATTCCGTAATATTAGATACAGTGTCTGTTTCATAAAGTTATGGCACCAGTATTTCATAAATATTTTAACTTTTCGGAAGTTGTGTCTTTTTGTTAGTATAACTAGTACAGACATGATCATTATAATAATTAAGAGCATTCTGATAATATTTACACGTAGAACACGACAACTAAGTTTGAACACTACATTAAATATTACACGGTAATGCCTTTAATGTCTTTGGTAAAACCTCAGATTTTTAAACACGTGATAACTCAACATATTATCATTTTCTATTCTGTTATTATAAATATATAATACATATGGCTTCATATTAGTATGAAATGCATAAACAAAAACCTATGTTCTTGCTTTTGCATTTCTATGGCTTCTAAAATGTTTGCTTTTCTATGGCTTCTTATATTTTTGCACTTTTGTGGCTTCTTAAATACTTGCATTTCTATGGCTTCTAAAATGCTTTCATTTCTATGGCTTCTTAAATACTTGTATTTTTATGGCTTCTAAAACGCTTTCATTTCTATGGCTTCTTAAATACTTGTATTTCTATGGCTTCTTATATTTTTTGTACTTTTGTGGCTTCTTAAATACTTGCATTTCTATGGCTTCTAAAATGCTTTCATTTCTATGGCTTCTTAAATACTTGCATTTTTATGGCTTCTAAAACGCTTTCATTTCTATGGCTTCTTAAATACTTGCATTTCTATGGCTTCTTATATTTTTTGTACTTTTGTGGCTTCTTAAATACTTGCATTTCTATGGATTTTTAAAATGTTTGCATTTTTATAGATTATTGAATATTTTGTATTTCTTTGGATTCTTAAATTATATGCGTTTTTAACGCAAATGAAATTTAATGTAATTAAGATTTTATTTTTACCTTTTGATATTATATGTATAAAACTTAAAATAAAAAAGAAATCACGCTACGGGCTTAAATGATCTACAAAAACTGTGCAAGGGGAGAATCGTGATAGTTATGATATACAAGATATACAAGATCTAGCATCTAGCATTTTTATAGTTTTAATTTGTTTTACATTTATATACTCTAACGAAACCTCACAATGGAGATAAACATTTTAGGAGACTCTAGTCGGAAGGTATTTAAATATCTCATGAAGAAATCCCAAACAAGATATATCGATATGAATTGAAAACGATTAAGGCTTAGTGTTGCAGTTTCACAATGAATCTAAATTAGCATAATTTTTTGTGCGAAATTAAAATATTTATTTTAAACCATTCCAGCTATACTTTTAATCAAGTCTATAGTTAAATTTAGATAGAAGGGTATTTCGTGTTCCATGACCCTGAAATTCAATTGGTACATAACAAAGAACATATGCCGTTGGTTGCTATTTTTTGTTAAAAAGTCTAATTGACTTGAATGTTTGACCATTATAAATTTTGTCAATTATAATTAATGACGTGGATCAACATCTGCTCTCGATCAACGCCGTGTTATTTATTTTAACATTTTTGTAACGTCCGGTAATTATATTCGAATATTTTTGGGAGATTCATAGTGGGTATTACTTGCCTGTAAATATACTTTTAGCTAATGTTATTGATGTATCTGCTATTTAAAAAGTATAAAAGGATCCAATCTTATCCAAACGGTAGACACAGGACAGTATGACAATCTCACCTCTTTGCTTTATGGGATATTGTCGGATGCGTTTCGATCAGTGGATTGTAGAAAAACATTTTGTTAAATATGTGGAGCACACGAGAACAATCACATGGGAAAATAAAATATTGGTCGTGACAAGATAGGATATGCGTCTTGGTCGTGTTAACCCTTTGGCCTACATTGGGACCAAGCGATGTTAACCTGACCCTGGTTGACGAGTTAAAACATCAAATAATTGGTTTTAAGCTTCGATTTAAAACTTCATATCCGTGCACTGGCGGAAGTGTAATATTTTTTTTCGTTCAGCTCACAGAAACTGTCGTGCGTCTATCGAACGATGCAGAGACGCCGCCTTGCCTCGATCGTCTACACGCCCACAATAATTATTTTCATAGGTCAAACGAGAGTACGTTTACACTGTCGTGAACGGAAGCAATTTTCTACCGAAATTATAAAGCCTAAAAATTAATCGTGCAAAACCAATGGGTCGCCAATTTCACGCCATCGTTTAATCAACTAAATGGTATTACTGTAGAAAATTGTCTCTCTTCTTCACCACGCGCATAACACGAACTCACACGTACAACATTAACTTTTTCAAATACTTGTTTCTCTCAACTTGTTGACTTGTGTAAAAAATGTACTGCCAAAGCACAAAAATAATAATGTACATTCATAATTGTTGGATAGAAAAATACTGTTATGCGTAACGAATTTCGTTTTAAAGTCGACTTACAATGACACATTTTATAACGATTAAAAACATGTCTGCATCAGCCAAGAAAAAATAATCGAATTGGATAATATTTTTGGCTGTGCTCAACAAATATTATGTTGAGGTAGGTCATTATTAACAAACTGCCTGGGTTGCAACATGTTTAAAACAATGTTTTTTTATCTTGTAAAATTTCAAGTTAAATTTTTTTTATAATTGATTATTTTACTTTTTATTAATACTACAATTATCATATTACTAAGTAATAATTTATATAAAAGTAGTAAAAACAGAGACATTAACGAGGTTATGCTGTATGAGATTATTTGAGGTGGATTAGTTGGAGAGAAGCGTCTGGTGTTTTGTGCGAATAAAAAATCACTGAAAGTAAGTTTGATAAGACTGTGGTGAGATCAATTATGTTTTATGGTTTAGACTGTTGTATGGTTGACAAGAAAATAGAGCAGAGAATGAGTGTAGCAGAGGTGAGATTGCTTAAATGGATGAATGGCGTGATAAAAGAAGATAGGATAAGGAAAGAGAAAGCAAAAGAATAGCATTGATCGTGGATAAGATGAGAAAAAATAGGCTTAGAGGGTTTTATCATGTTATTTGGAGAAAGGAATTGGACGCTGTGAGAATAGTAATGTAATGAATGTTGAAAAAAGAAGAGGTAGAAGAAGACAAAAAAAGTGATGAAGGGATGTTATTAAATGCGATATTTAAGGATGGCTGATGTATGCCAAGATGGTGTGTATCAAGTGGAAGTTTGGGATAAGGGTGGCCGACACCATGTAGTTGGAATAAAGACGGGAAAAAAGAAGAAAACATAAAAAAATCGTATTTTTTACTATTTTGTAATCATAGTTATTATCCGTTTTTTGATCGCAGCACTTTGGTTAGGCAATCAAGGTACGTAAAAAATCAACAAACGATTGCCGTGACCTTCGTCAACATACTTTTACTTTCGATATTTTATAAACATAATGTAAAAATTATCTTACCTTCGACATCGTGCATATAAATAAAAATATGCCTTTTTTAAATAACTTATATTATTAATTGATGGACTATTTCATTAACTTACAATACAAACATCATTTTGTTTAAATTAAATAAAAAAAAAAAATGATCATTAAACTAAAAAAAAGGAGTTTTCCTTGAAGATATTTGATGTATTAGAATATAACGATTCCTTTGAGATTACATCTTATAACACCAATTCCACTTTATGTATTATATTTTTATTGATATCAGATAACATATTGTTATACTGACATTTTGAAAATTTTTTGTGGCGTGCCTAAGATTCTCAAATAGATGGCTGTTATCAAGAAATATTTTAACTAAAATGTATGTTTAACTCAGACTATAGGAAGGGTATAACCCTTTTAGTATCCTGAATACATCACTGGGTAGTTGAAACTTGTTGAAACTAAAGGTTGTTACATTTTTTCTTAATCAAAACCGAAATATTCGTAAAGTTACAACTATTGTTAACCTATTAAATCTTAGTTATTTTATTCATAATCATTAAAATAATTGTCAAGCAAAAAAATTACAAATATTTTTTAAGAAATAAGAAAGAGATACATAATTATTTGTTTGATGATTATTCCTTTACTTTTTAGTAAATTCTAGAAAAACATTAAAAAATATATAAATATTATAATTGTTAAAATGTCTTAGTAATTATTATCGTCACAGTTAATATCAATTTTAAATAATTAGATACATTTTATCAAAGACAAAATAATTTTTAATTTAAAAGAGCAAAACGTACTATCAATTATTCACAAAAGTAAGACAAAAAAATTAAAAATGAATGAAGTTTTTTTTTGATCTTACATTTAATTTAACATTGTTTCTACGTGTTTTATTAAATTAATTTTTTTATACTTATTTGACTATGTAGTTTAAAAAGAGTGTGAATTATTTTTTGTGATAAAACGGCATTCGACATAGGCAATTTAAATACATATACAAGTATGATTTGAAATTACTAATTTAAACGATTATTTATTGGATAATTCAAACGTTTTCCCAGAATTAAACTGTAAAAATAATTTTTGAACCTACACTACTATCCTCAAAATGATGTATTGAAAAAACTGGTTTTGTTCTCACATAGACGTAATTAGACAAATAGTAAGACCCGTAGGTGGTTGACTATCGTATTTTTACTAATTTCCTTTTAGCCAACGGAAAACTTACTACTCGCGTAATATAATCGGGACCAGAATTACCAACACACAAAATAGTCCTTATTTGTGACCCCAAAAAAATTCGGGCAAATAAATGTTTGGTTTTTAAAAATATATACCAGTTGAAAAGCCATTTAATCAACTGTTAAAAAAAAAAAATTTTAATAAATAAATTTTAAGAAAAAATTTTGGTTCTAGTGAATTTAGCTTAATTTTAGTTTATTATAATTAAAGAATGATACATAGTATCAAACTTTTATGTTATTAGAATTAATGTGCATTCTTGTTTTAAACCTACTTCACCACTACACTTCATTATGATTAGAATCAAAAATATTTTAATATATTGAGTTGCTATTCTAATAATATTTTACCAATACTAAAATATTTTTATATACATAAACGAAACAAAAACAATTAAATGTGGTTCCAAAATAGTTATTATTAAGTAAATTTTACTACTTAAATTCAAAAAGAAATTATATTGAATTTTTTTTAACTTCAAATATCATTGAATATCGAATAGTTTGCCATTAGCATAAAGAGAAAAACAATGACAATAACAAAACAGATTGATCAATAAATTAAGTATGAAATTGTTTTAGTAAATTTGGCTCAAAACATAACAATATTGAATTTAAAAACTATTAATTTAAAAGTAAAAACTTCTATCAATAAAGATTAAATAATTTTTTATTTAAAACGTTTTCTATCAATAATATAAATTGTTACTATCATTATGACTAAATCATTTTAACTACTATGTTAAATACGTACAATTAAATGTACAAAGATATATCTAAAAAAAATTGTCATACAAAAGTTACTTGATACAGTACATAATACAGTAATATAATAATGTACATAAGACTTTTTACAGATTAAAATAATAATCATATAAACAAACATTTGAGAAACCAGATTTAAAAAGAAATACTGGTTTCAGGCTACAGCCAATAAAAGTTCATTAATACACAACGGTAAAGACTACAAAAATTACATTTAAGTAAAATTTAACTCCAACTGATTACATTGAGCATCACCAAAAATTCAACAAACATGAAGATTACTTAACTGGGATCCGTTGAACTTGTTTTCTGTGTGCATGTCTGTATTTTATTACATATGCTTCAATCAGACTCTGTATTTTTTGTGGGTTAATTTCACCACTTTTATTATGGCAAATCTAAAATGAAGATTGTTCTAATTAGTATGATTTTTTAGTTTCAATTATATATTACATACTTTAGGTACTGCTTTTCTCATAATATCTTTGTATTGTTCTTTTGTAATGTGTTTTTTATTGTAATGTGGTTTCAACACAAGTTTAACTTCATCTATTACTCGTTCTTGTCGATTAAGTTTTTCCAAAAACTATAAATAAATATAGCTTAAAATTAATGAGTTCTACAGCATCAACATAAAATTATAGTAAATAGATAAATTTAAAAAAATTGATATAACATATATAATAAAATATATTTATGTTTATATATTAATTTTACTATATTATAAAAATAATTTTGTCTTTAAATTAATGGATTACCTTGTTTTTTGACTCTAATTCTACTGCTGAGCCAGGTAAATCATCAATAATTTCATCATTTGACATATTGTGTTTAGAATCTTATTATGAAATAAAGAAAATAGTTAATTAATAAATGCATAGCAAAATTTATGAGGTGTACAAAAATTAAATACATAAATACTTACGTTTTGACTTTAAGGGAAATTTTGATGGCTTCAAATTTTTCATTAAAAGATTATCAAATACATTAGTAGGTTTTGATCGTGGCAGTATACTAAGTAAAGTATCAAGTTTACTTCTGGATGAATCATTTTTATTTAAAGATTGAGGAACAGGTAATATCTTAGGAGCTGGTGGAGGTGGACTATCAGGTGATGATCCCCTCAATTCATCAATAAATCCTTCACCAGGTGAGTATGGAGAATCAGCTTCATTTTCAAAGGCAGTAGTCTGACTATCATCATTGTCCAAATTTATTACCTCATCAGGTTGCACATTTGAAGTAGGTAGTTGTATAGGACTAGGAGCTTTGTTTACTGTAGGACTAGTGTATAGTAATGAATTAGCAGTTGAAGTGACTAATTTTTCTGGAGATTTTTTTTCATTTTGTAAATTGTTAGGAGTTTCTAAAAATGGAGGAGTTATTGTTTTTGCAATAATTTTAGGTGATATTGAAGGTTGTTTTTCAATGACTTTATTATCTTCAACAGACTGTGTTGGTACATCGATAGGATCATCTTCAAACATATCAATTCGAGGTGGTGGACTAGGCGAGTTTGATTTAGTAGGTTCAAAAGGATCATAAGCCGTTTCACTAGCTGTTGTATCAATGGATCTTGGTGGTTCAGGAGGAGTATTTGGACCTCGACTACGGACATCCAAAGTTTGTGTACAATTTTCATTTTGTTTGGTAAAATCACAGCTGCCTTTTGTATCTGGTTTAGATAGCAAATTTGTTGGTTCTGGGGGTGTTTTAGGACCTCCAATGGTAATTGTTGGGATAGTTTGAGTACTATTTTCATTTTTTTCTACAACCTTTGGTTCAACAGTAATATGCTCTTTTTGTTTTTCTGGACTGCTATCTTTTTTAGTTTCTAGTTTTGTTTGTTTGTCTTCATCACTATCAGTTAGTACAATAATATTTTTTGGAGACATTGGTATTTCTCTGAAAGGAGATGTATTTAAGTCTATAATTGCAACTGGTTTAGCATTACCCATTTCAATAGTTCTTGATATTTTTTTACGATTTGTTCCCTTTTTAAGAGCTTTAAGATTGGTATTATTACTAACATTGTTTTTTACTTTTTTATTTGATAAAACTGGAGTTGTTTCTTGACGTTTACGCTTTATAGGTTCTTGTGAAGTTTGATCACTTATAGAGTCCTTAAAGTTGACACTCACTAATATGTTATCACCAGAAGCAAAAACTTCTTTACTAGGAGGGACAGCAACTTGACGTGTAGCGTGTCTTTTAGATTGCTTAGTTTTTTTAGAATTATCATTTTTTACAATAACTGTTAAATTACCAAGTGCCATGTTATCATTATATTCAGAATAATCTTGATCTCTTCCAGGAAAACCAATATCTATATCTGTTCCCCGGCGACCATATACTGGTGATGGGGTTCGAGAAACATCTGTTTGTGACCAATGACCATCTCTAGGTGATGGCCACATATGAATACCTGGTGATATTGATCGAGAAGGAGACAATTGTTGATAATCTTTTAACTTTTTTTTAGTTTTCTTTTTAACATTTTTATTTAATTTTACCAACTTTTTATCATGATCTTTTTCTATTTTTGAATAAATATTCTTTTCTTTTGATTTTTTTGAACTGCGTTTAGAAGACAAAGGTGACAATTCACGATCATCATAAAGTGCAGGAGATCGACATCTATCTTTTACAACTCCTTGAATTCTATCATGTTTACTTGAATGCTTTAAACTTCTAGAACGATGTCTACTTTTAGACCGATGCTTACTCTTAGACCTATTTCTACTCTTTGATTCACTTCGATGACGGCTTCTCGATTTTTTATGATTTCTTTGTCTTAAAGGTGATATGGAACGCCTGTGTTGTCTAGAACGACTTCTCTTATGTTTCTTACGTTTATTCCGATCTCTTGATTCAGAATCACTACAACTAGACTTAGACAAATCACGACCAAATTTATCTTTTTTTCGCCTAGGTCTTTCTTCTAGAACTTTTCGTATATCATACAATTCTATTTCTTTTCTTTTTTGCTTTTTTTCTTTTTTGATGCTATCTTCATTAATTTTTTCTTTACATTTTCCATATCGGTAATTTCGATCCTTAGAGCTTTTGGATAACTTTTTCCAAGGTACACTCTCTACATCAGATTCTTTTCCCTTAATCTTAACATTTGAATCTTTATTCTCTTCTTTCTTTCCATTAGATAACTTATCTTTATTCAGATTTTTATTAGAAGTATTTTGGTCCTTATTTTTCTTCTTATCTTCTTCTGAATCTGAAATAGGGTCTAAATTTAAATTATTTTGTTTAGTCAAAGGGTCATTTTTCAAATCTTCTCCAACAGTCAAGTCATCAACAATAACTTCATTTTCATTTGTTAAAGTTATGGATATATCTGTAGATTCTTCAATCAAGTCTGAATTATTGTTATCTTCAGGACTCGATAATTTATCATTTTCTTTAATTGATTCTACTTTATTAGAAATAATATCACTATTATCATTTAATTCATCAGTTTTAATTGGTTTATCTACTTCATCTATATCAGAATTATTTACACATGCATCACCATTAATTGATGGTTTTTCAATAACATCTAATTTATTCCTAGTTGATAACTGTTCATTTTCTGTACTTTGTTGTTTAATATCTAGATTTTCATATACGCTGCCAATGGGAGGCATAGGAATATACTCTAATTCTTCTTCTGGAGGTAGTTTTTCAATTTCAAGATCATCTTCCAATGAAGTATCATTATTTTTGGGTGAACTAGATAATTTTTGGCTAGTTGTAGAATATAAGGCTAAGTTTGGACAATCATCATTAGTTTCTTTGTCATCATCGTCAGAAGACATTGCTTCATCTTGTTGTAATACATTATTGCTTGAATTAGAAATGAATGGTATAGAATTATTTTCTACTCGTTCCATATAACCACCATAAGTAGGAGATTGCATGTATGTAGGTTCAGCTGAATTGATCTCTTCTACTTGATCATCAATTTCATTAGGGTTTTCAGGATCATAATACTCATTATCATCAATTACTAAATTATCCGTTTCATCATCATCTAGATTAATACCCATTAATAGGGCTGGTGGTTCTGGAGGTGGTTCAAGAGCTTTGAACGACTCAGAATTTGAAGTAGATCCACCATCTTCTTCAACATTATATTCCGTTGTAGTAGACTTAGTAGGAGGTTGTACTTGTTTCTTTTCGCCAATTTTGGTTACATTCATTCTAAATTTTATTGGACCAGAGTTTCTAAAAGGAAATGGATTAACAGGTTCATTTTCATTAAAACTTTGATTAACAGGTAATTGAGATTCATTTAATGAACTAGAATTTCCTTCTTTAGGATATGTTTGGCTACTGTTTCTAGAATAATTCCTACTATTGTTGTGATTAGAAGAACAGTTATTGGCATTATTAGTGTTTCTATCAGAACGATGATCAGAATACATTGGTGTTTGAGTAACATGTTTGTCAATATTTTTCATTTCATTTTCCAATGATTTTTTTTTAAATTGCTTTTCTTGAACATTTAAAATAGTATCCAAAATATTAATTGAATCTATATTGTGAGATATGTTAATATTTTTTCGAGCTGGTCTTCGTAAGATTTCACTGATTTCTTTTCTTGACATCAGATCTGCTGTGGAAAAACGTATTCGAGGAATTGTTGACATAAATAAAGGTCCATCACCACCAATATCATTTTCATTATCAGATCTACAAATAAATAAAAATTGTAACAAATGAATTTTTGTATAAATATTTTTGAAAAAATTACTCTAATGGAGCATAATCTAATTCATGTGAACTTCCAAGTATACTCAATGATCTATGATCAACAAAATTACTGAATGTTCCTATTCCATTACTATTGTCACCAAATGAAGATTTATTCAATTTAGTAGAACACATCCCTAATTGATCAGCTAGCCGTAATCTTTTTTTACTAATTGATTGTTTTTTAACCTATATAAAAAATAATATAAAAATATCACATAACTTAATTTAATAATAAAAACAACACTTTTTATTTGTTTATGTGAAAATTTAATACCATTAGTAAAATACTTCTTTTGAAATACTTGTTATATTATTTAGAATATTTACAGATATATGACTCCAGTTTTGTACTGATAATTTAAATTTGATGCAAAGTTCATTTTCATAGCAATAGTTACAGTTTAGAAGTTATAGTCATAACAAAATTGAAGATAAGGATTTATCTGTAAATATTCTAAATCATAAAACAAACCATGAAAATTTAAACACATTCATACTTGTTGGATTTTGATAATAGATATTTTATTAAAAAATAATAGTAATAATGAAATTTTTTATTAAATATATAAGTACTACTTAAATTTTACAATTCTAAACAAATTTTTTTTTTTTTTTAATTAAAAAAATTCAACTATAAAAATTTACTTTTCGACATTTTCTTGTCCTATTTTTCCTTCTAGAATATTTCTTAATCCTTCGCCTTACTTTTCTTTGTGCATTACTGCATTGTATACCTTCTTCATTATTCTAGAAAAAATTAATTAAATGAAAGTTATTGTAGACTATTGTTTGAAAATTTTGAAAGAATACCAAAGCTCGAAGTTGTATTCGATGAGTATTCATTCGTACTCTTTCACTTGCTCTAGTTCTTGGCACTAAACGTTCTCGTGATACTCTTATTCTTCTAGATGGAGGTTGCTCATCTTCATTTAGATCATTTAGTAGCTCAGTAACTTCTTCCTGATCAATATCATTATCACTTTGCTAAGGGGAAATATAAAAATTAATCATTTATAAGAAAATATTTCTAAGAGTTGTACTTTAAATCACTTCTAAATAACAGAGGTTTAGTAAATGTAAAATATTCAAATTCAGTACTACTTAAAATACAATAAAGAAATTGAAGGGCCTGCAACAACATTTTTTTTAAGATTTACTTCTTTGATAGAAGATGATCAATAGAAACCAATTTACATTGAGATACAACAAAAAAATATGTTTAATAATTAATCATAGAGTTAAAACTAAAGGTAAATTCCTTTTTGCTGTATTTATGTATAAAACAAATTGTTGAGAATTATATTTCTAAATAACAAATGAACTATACTTAAAACAATAATTTAAAAAGCCTTAGGTTGAATTTTAAAAGACTAGTAACCACTACAATTTATTTGATTTGTACAGCAGTAATATCTTTATACTAAAATTTACAACTATAACTAGGAAAATAAGATAAAGTGGGTTATAGTTTGTATTTTGTATTAATTATTTTCTTATTTATAAAATTATAATCTACAAATTCAACATTAAAACTAACCTCTTCTCTTAATTCACATTGTGGACAATACCATTCTTCTAATGGAACTCTAGAAAGAGGGGGATTAAGGCAATCCATGTGATACCCACAATCACAAATATCACATAAAAGCATTTCATCTTCTCGATTACTTAGATGACAAACCTAAAAAACACAAATGTTTGTATATTATAAAATAAATAAAATAAAACTGTTACAATTAAATATTGCACTATTTAAAACTTACTTCACAATATGTTAAATCATCAATATTTACAGATTGTGGTTCTTGTTCATTTTTCAAATTTACATTTATCTCTTTAATCACACCACCATCAACAGATCGTACAATAATAAACTTGAATTCTAAGCGGTCAATAGGACATGTTTTGGCATTCTAAAAATATTTATTAAAATTCATTTTTTCATTGAGTAATAAAGTTTTGAAATAAATGAAATATAACTTTCAATATTATTACCTTAGCCCATTCAGTAATACAGTTTATACAAAATGAGTGGAGACAGGAGTTTGGTGATGCTATTTCATCTTGACCTAAACGTGTAAGACAAATTGGACATTTGTCTGATTCTCCATCAGAACTACTAGATGTGCTTTCATCATCACTTTCAATAGGCTAAAAATAATATAGCATATATAAAAAAATCAACTAATTAAGTTTCCAAGTTTATAGTATCATATAAGACTAACATTAATTTTTTGGTGTTTAATTCCAGAATTTATATCACTATCACTATCTCCAGATTCTCCCATTTTTGTTGTTTGCTTCTGAAAAAAAAATGAAGTATCTGTTAAGACAATAACATTAATGAATAAAAATGAACTCTTTTGTATTTTTACTATTTGTACTTTTGTATTTTATTGTATTTTGTAATTTTACTAATTATTATGATGAAATAATTAAATACTACACATTTATTATTTCATAACAAATAAACATTAATGTTTTTGGTTTAACTTTTAGTAGCACCCATGTTAAAACTCACAATACCTATTAAAATAATAGTGATTACATTGATTTTTAAGTTTTGTTTTAAACACTCTTTAATTCCTGTAATTAATTTAATTTAAAAATCTATTCATCTTTTATTATTTGAAGACATACATTTTATTGTATCAACAAAAAAAATATTATACACACCTATGAATATTTAGCTAAGAGTTAAAATAAAATAAATAATCATACCTAAATTAAGGCGAAAACATTACCATTAACCACAGCAATATTTTTACTGAAAAATATTTTCTTGAGTATATATTTATGCTGTATTTATAATCATTCCTTACTTATTTGGGTGAAATGCTATGGTATAAGTATTTTCCTAAGGACAACATATCAGACGTTATTCTTCCTAATAATTTTTTTTTTTAAATGTTCATTTAATAAATGATTCACCATCAAATAACTAAATTGTTACTGATTAATTATTTACAGACAATATAACACAAAACGAAGTAAAATACTAAATTCTGATATTCTTTTTCATTAATTTATATGAAATAAGTAGGTATACAAAATAATCAAAATTTACAACAAATCACTGATGTCTGATGGACAATATGTCAGAGAAGCCAACATGATTTGTTGAATTCAAGGACGCCAATAATCAGTGCTACCAAAACTTTTATCACTAAATGATGATAAAATTATCAAATGATAAGAAATGTTATTTTTTTAACACGTGAGATTTAATATTATTTATTTTAAAACAAATTTTAACGTTACTAAATTTTCATTTTTTTTTCAACAAGAATATTATAGAAAATTAATTTTTAATATATTATTATGACTGATAAACAAAGTTCAGAAGTGACTCCATTAACGTCCTACTCTGAAGAAACTCCGGTTACTTTTAAAGACTTGGTATGTATATTTATTCATTTTTAGTTAAACTTGACAGTTTTATAAAAAAAACTTAAATTTAATTAGTTTTTAAAAAAGTTTAATTTAAATACCTTCTTAAAATATTTAAATTGTTTCGGAATATATAAAAAATAAAGTTAAGTAGCTTATATTTTTTAGTTATTACTTTTTTCATTCATCTGAAATTTTATAATTAAAATTTATGTGTGATATCAAAATAAGATTTTACAAAGTCTATTTTGAGAAAAATGAATATATATACAACAAAATAATTGTATAGTCAACAATTTTTTGTTTATTGATTATTAAAATTATGTTATTTTTAACATAAATCTTTTATTTCCAGGGTGTCACAGATGTATTATGTGAAACATGTAAATCTTTAAAATGGAATGAACCAACAAAAATACAAAAAGAAGCAATTCCTGTAGCATTACAAGGGAAAGATATCATCGGTCTAGCAGAAACAGGTTCAGGAAAAACTGGAGCTTTTTCCATTCCTATTTTACAAGCATTACTTGAAAATCCTCAACGCTATTTTGCCCTTATATTAACTCCTACAAGAGAGCTAGCTTTTCAGATATCTGAACAAATAGAAGCATTAGGTGATATGTGAATTTATTCAACTTCCAATATAGTTCTTATTGAGATAATTAGCTATTTAATCTTCAAAGTTATTTCTTTATAGGATCAAGTATTGGTGTGAAATGTGGAGTCATTGTTGGGGGAATGGATATGATGGCTCAAGCACTAATGTTAGCTAAAAAACCACATATAATAATTGCTACCCCTGGTCGTTTAGTTGATCATCTAGAAAATACTAAAGGATTTAGTCTTCGAAATTTGAAAATATTGGTAAATTAAAACTCCTTTTTATAATCTTACATTTTTCAAAAATATAGATATAGTAAAAGAACTAAAGGCTTGTCTACTGTAACCTTTTGATGTTTGCTAAAATGTGATGACGCAATAAAATGATAACAATAGTATACAGTATACTATTGTTTAATTGGGAATGAAGGTAAAAATAAAGTATCATTTCAATTTCTAGGTAAACATATCAATGTATTTCACACAATGTCTATATTTAGAAAAAAATTTAATTTAAATATTAAAATTAAGTAGTTTAATAAATACAATTATGGGAAAAAATTTTTTGGTTTTTTTAGTTATGTATAATTCTTAATTTATTAGCTATAAATTAAATTTTACAATCATCCCTTTTAACTTATAGTGATGTCATTTTTTTTTCATAAGACAACATATACAATTTAATAGCATATTTTATAAATGATGAAGTTCATTTATAAATTAAGCAAGTAAATTATACTATACTGTATATTTTGCCATATGAAAAAAATTGACACCTCTATAATTTATAAGGGATGATTTTAAAAGGTTATTTATTTATAGATAATAAATTTGGTATTAGCTGGTACATGTAAATTAAAAACAGAGTTGTTTAGAAAGGATAATAAATATAAATCGAGTTTATTGTTCAGTGGGAACAATAAACTCGATTTATATAAATTTATTTAAAAACGGAAGCATCCGTTTTTAACCACTTATGGCAATTAATTTTCAGGTCATCTCTTAATGTAATATTAATATATTTGCATTGTAAATATATTGTCTATTTTTCTATTGAAAAAGTATTCTTAGACATTAGACTAATTATATTATGCAATCTTCAAAATATATTTTAGTTATAAATAAATGTATTTATTTTTAGGTTATGGATGAAGCTGATCGAATTTTGAATATGGACTTTGAAGAAGAAGTAGATAAAATTCTAAAAGTAATACCAAGAGAAAGACGTACATTTCTATTTTCTGCTACTATGACAAAAAAAGTTCAAAAATTACACCGGGCTTCTTTAGTAGATCCTGTAAGAGTGGAAGTATCTACCAAATTTCAAACTGTAGAACAATTACATCAATATTATTTGTTTATTCCAGTTAAATATAAAGTAATTTTATTACTTCATCTATTTAATATATTAATTTATTACTTGCTGGCTAATATTAAGTTATTTATAAGGATGTATACTTAGTTCATATTTTAAATGAGATGGCTGGAAATTCATTCATGGTATTTATGGCTACTTGTAATGGAACAATAAGAGTTGCATTACTTCTTAGAAACTTAGGATTGGATGCTATACCATTGCACGGCCAGATGACTCAAAATAAACGGTTAGCTGCTCTCAATAAGTTTAAATCAAAATCTAGATCAATTCTTATATCTACTGATGTTTCTAGTCGGTAAGTATTATATAAAACATTTATTACTCATTAAATAAAGAATTATTAATATTTAACTTTACGTTAAAGAGGTTTAGATATTCCACATGTAGATGTAGTTATAAATTTTGATATGCCAACTCATAGTAAAGATTATATTCATAGAGTAGGCAGAACAGCTAGAGCGGGAAGATCAGGAAAGGCTATAACTTTAGTTACTCAAGTAATACATTTTAGATAAAATAATCTATTAAATAAAAACTATTTCTGTAATTAATATAAATTAATAACATTATAAGCTCACAAATAATAACAACATTTTTAAAAAAGGTATATAAAGTTATATATTATGTTATTATATGTTCACTTATCTAAATTAAAACAATGTTTTAATTTTAACACAAACGCAACTCAATATAGAGTACCTCATTTAATTCAAGCAATTTTTTATGTTAATTTATGAAAACATTTTGAAATCCAGATGATGTACTAATTTGAATGTGCTTACTAATATATAAATATATATATATATTTCAGTATGATATAGAATTATATCAAAGAATAGAACAGCTTATTGGAAAAAAATTACCACTTTATCAAGTAGAAGATGATGAAGTAATGTGTTTACAAGAACGGGTATCCGAGGCTCAAAGAATCGCTAAAATGGTAAGTGCGTTTAGGCTTCAAAATATAAATCTTAATTTTTTTTTAGTTTTACCAATTCTAAAATTCAAATATTCTATGCAATGTATTAACTATTTTAAGTTTTATAAATATAAAGTAGAAAGCTAATTCTAGTTTTTTACCTATAGAATATGAAAGATATGGGTGATAAAAAAGGAAAAAGAATACTAGATGATGATGAAGAAGGTGCTATGGGAGTGAGGAAGAAAGTTATAGGCAAACACAAGGCAAAAAAATTTAAAAAGAGGAAATAAACTCTACTTAAGTTTAAAATGTATTTTTAAGTATTAACTTTATCATAAACCTTTATATTTTTAATGAATATAAACCTTTATATTTTTAATGAATAAAGTTAAACTTTTCATAAAATTTCAATATATATAATAATAAATTACTAATAACCATTTTGAATTAAAATTTACATTTTATACAACTTAAGAACAGCCATTAGTGTATATCCAAATAATTAAAGTTACAATGTTTTCATTCCCTGGTAAGTAAATGATGTGCTTTGATTGGCTATCAGTTAAGTTTTTTTTTTAATGTTTGCACACTTTATTCATAGTATAAAATGGTCCATTACCATCATAAGTATGGAGGAAACTCCACCTTTAGGCAAATTATTGTACATCAATTGATATGTGGAAAATATAGAGGTTATATAAAAATAGAACATATTCTCATTACGATACTTGAATCATGGCTTATTAAAATTCCATTGATATTAATTTGATTAAAAAAATAACTACTGAATTATGAAACAGATAGAGGCAATTATTTTACAATACAGTATACAAAATTGATTTAAATTATTTTTACTTTTGATTTAATTTTAATGAAACATCACTTTTATTTGCAGTAATATAAAAAAATAAGTTTATTTACTACATAAACAGAGTTAGAGAATATTTCAGTTAAACAAATGAAAAAATGAAAAAGTGAAGTTGAAAAATTAAAAACATTTTTATATTGTTAATCAATTCATTTAATATTATAAAATAATTTCAAATATCCATTGAAATTTTGCTTTGAGTAATTAAATAAATATGCATAAAGCTTTAATGAGGATATCAAATTGTAACAGAACATATTAAATATAACATAATAAATTTTGTGAACCAACATTTATAGATATCATGTTTTAAATTTTTATATTTGTAGAACAAAATACTTACAAATAATAATTAGATGTTAATTAACCACGTTTTGAAATACTATACATTTTTTTTAATAGAAAAAAAGTTACTTTGCATAGACTTATCAGATATGACAATCTATAATTTTTTAAATAGTATTATATAAGATAAAATTTATAAGACAAATTGCAAAAAACTATTTAACTTATAAATACAGGATTAAAAATAACAAAATAATACATACATTATTATTTTAAATTTACAAGACTACCCAACGCATAGCAGCTCGCAATCTATTGTAGTCTAATAATTGTTCAACTGGGCCAACAGCAGCAACAGCAGGGCATCTGTCAAACAAATACTTCATAGCAATACCATGTACTTTTTTAGCTGTTACGTCCTGGAAAAAAAATACAAATTCACAAAATTTAAATATTGATTATAATTTGAAAAAAACTAATTTCTAAATGTAAAAAAAAAATATACAATATTTCCCGAGATAATTTTAATTATATTTTATCATACATTTATGCGAGCTTCCAATTCATGTGGAGGAATACGTCTATTGTAACATAAAATTTGTCTGCCTATATCTTCACACACTTGAGTTGTTGTATCTAGCTGCAAAAGCATATTTGTTTTTAATACATTCTTTGCGCGTTCTACTTCAGCTTCAGTTACTGAAGCACAAAGCCTCATCCATTCTTCTTGTAAATGAAAAGTGAAATCCTGTAATAATAATAAATAAAATCAAAATGGTCAAAATATAAAATATAACAAAAAATACAAAATTAAAAAATCTAACACACCGCTATTTGCAGTTTGTCACATACAAAATAGGCACCCCACAGACCAGTATCTTTGTAACATGTATTAAATGATTGGAAAGAATGAACTAGATTTTCTGAATCAGCAACACGAGCTAACCGATTAGCATTATTGTTCCCTCCACCTTGAGATCTATCCCATGATCCAATTAAAGTGTTAGCGACCATTAATGGTATATTATCAGCATCAGACCAGCCACAGCTTTCAACAGCAATGGCGATATGAGCTAAAGGTAATGAATCATCTCTTGCTTTAATCTCCGAACCTAAGTAGAATTAAAACATAAAATAATAAAATAAATAAATAACAATTATTTACAAACAAAAATAGGGACTGCACCTGTAAATCTACAAGGTTCATAATGTGGAATGTTAGCTTCAAAATTCATGTTGCTTGGGTTTTTGAATAATTTTTTTGCCATCTCAACTAAGTCTTCGTGATTCACACCACCAGCACCAGCCAATACTAAACGGCTAGGTCTGTAGAATACATCTACATACTCTCTAAGGTCTTTTTGTTTTAAAGAGCTAGAGTATTAATAAAGAAAAGTTAAATTTGTTTTTTATGAATAGCAAAAAATTTATATCATTAAATATAACAAGTAACAATTATCTAAGAATCATGTTTTGATGAATAAACTAAAATAAGTATATAATTTTTTTAACAAAAATTAATTTTCATAAAAAACTTTTTTATAAATTATAACAATTTTAAAATCCATTCTTTTTATTATTTATTCAAAAATCTTACAATAAACCATTCCAATTTCCCATAAAGAGCCTTTGTCAACTTTTTGGGTACTCTATTTTACAATTTATAAATAGTTATTTAAGTTAAAATTTATAAAAATCATCTTTAGGTACTTAGATCATTTAGCAGCCCTGCTATTCCTCAAATTATGTAAAATGCATTAAGTCCAATTATTAACATGTTTAATGGAGATGTGGAGGATAGAGCTCACTTAATAAGAGGGTGGGATGATTTCATTCAGTACTAAGTGTTAAAAAAAATATTTAATTGATAAATAAATGTTTTACACTTTTCTTCGCGTTTTTCTAGATTTAGAATAACACTATTATTGAATATCTTCAAATTCTTAAAATTCTAGTCATTTAGATGTACAATATGATAAAATTAATGTTAAAAAATCTATAAATTAAATAGATTACTTAATATTTTCAGTTGGTCCTAATATTGTTTGTCCTAAAGGAGTTCCTTGATAAGCAGTAGCATGTAAGTAATCAAATACAACTTCTTGTAAATTAGTTTCAACTTCCTGCATTTCTCTTAAAATTACTCCACGCTCTCTATTGATATCATCTTCAGCTAAAAGGAGAAAATATAATACATAATACAGGCTATCTAATTATTATAAGTTAAGTTTATGGACCAAAGTATTTAATTTTTGTCTTTGGCTTATTTAAACTATATTTTAAAAAAAACATTATTCATAATTGTATTAAACAGTAAAATTTACTTACTAAGTTTTGAATTTTGAATAATGTCTGCTAAAATTTCAATTGCTTTAGGTACATCACCTTTAAGTGCTTTAGCATAAAACACAGTTTGTTCTCGTGAAGTATAAGCATTTAAATGAGCACCAATATTTTCAATTTCTAACTCGAGTTGAGTTTGTGACCTTGATGGTGTTCCCTAAAAATTCAAAATAAAACTACATTTGAATTTTTTATTAGCTTTTAACAAATATACCTTAAATATCATGTGTTCGACAAAATGTGCTACACCATTATTTTGTGATGTTTCCCATCTTGAGCCTGCATCTATCCACAAACCTACAGTAGCAGTTTCTGATCCATTATCTTCAGTAGCTACTCGCATGCCATTATCAAGTGTGGTTACTTTAGTTTCAGGAACATTGACTTGAACAGAACTTGGTGCAGCCGTTGAACGCCAACGACTAGTTGCCTAAAAAAAAATATCAATTACAAATAAAATAATATATTTTGAGAGTAATATTTAATTGTATGAATGAATCGAAAATTTACCTGAATAGCACCTGATCTAAAGTTAAAAGTTTTTAAGGGTATTTGTAATTTTAATAAACGAGAAGCCATCTTGAAAAGGATAAAACTATTGGTACTTATAATTTTTAAAGGATATTCGGCAATTTGAAGACTAAGAACACGTTCAAGGACTGTAAAAGACAGATATTGAAAATTTAGACTGTGAGGATGTTAACAATATAAAACATATGATTATCAAATTATATTTCATACAGTCATTCAGTGTAGCCAGTAATAACAATATCTATACATTTGTGCTAAATATTTTAACTAAAAACGATTTTGATAACATATTAAGTCTACAATATTTCTCAACTTAATTTAGTATCATAACGTAATGCTTTATTTATTGAAACATTACTTACAGTCAAAATTTATAATGTTTTTTTAAATAAATATTACAATCTATGATTATTATGATTCGATTATACTAATTAAAATTTTGTCGAATTGTTTGAAAATAATCTAAATTTGAGGTGTTTGATTGAAATTTCTAAGTGGCTAATGTCCCAAAACATTCACTGAAGATTTCCCCATTTCATAAATAGATTTTGAAAAAAATATTTGTGAGTAAAAGGTAAGATAGTGAGGGGCTTGACCAGTGTTTGAAACCAAAAATGATAGCATAAGTTTTAGGTACATGACTGTAAACACAGCATACCGCAAATGAAGATTCTGTTTTGTAAATTTCTGTACATTAAAAGAACTTCATCCTAAAAATCATTTCTATAATAAAATTCATGTAATTTGTACAATTTATGTAAATCCCTGACAAAATTACATATTAGCAGAAAGAAATACAAGGTAGGATATTGATCACCTCAGGACAAAAATAGTTAATAGCTAAGATTGTGAATATGCTTATAATACATTTAGAGCTAGTGTTATTTCTGACAAAAAAAAAATCCTGATGCATTTTTTTTTTTTATATATAAACAAACAAATTTTAATTGTAAATGTAATTTTTGTAATACAAAATTGCTCTTTAAATATCAACACGATTACAAAAGTTGAAATCAAAACCAACTGAAATATAAAACATTTTGAATACAATTAAAAAATTAATTAATTGAAATATTTTAATAATAAAAATATAATTTACAATAAAATGCAGTAAAAATATTTAATAATTCTATGGAATATTAAAATTTTTTAATATTTTAATAAAAATCCAAGTATAAATTATTTATTTATCTCAAATATAGTTAAAGCTATAAATGCAAAAACATAACTTAATAATAGCAACTTATTTAAAAGTTTAAAACAAAAACTAATATTTTAGGATTTTGTCGTTGCCATAATATGTTTTAATAATGCCGCTCTTCTATCGGTATTTTGAAATAATGCTTTTAGTAAGATTTTAATTTGTTCAGCACTCAATTCAATTGCTAAAGGACCTTTTCCATCTGCCCAGCGGTTTTCAATATCTTTCATACTTGAACTTAAAACAAAAACTAATTCATTCAGCTGCCACCACTTAGGTACATACCTGTGTACTTCTTTTGGTTCCTAGATTAAAAATAAGTTGTAAAAAAATAATAGTAAAAACAATTAATTTATTGTTTTCGCAAATATATTACTGGAAATAAATTTGGTATATCTTTTATTATTTTAGTAAATATTGATGAATATTGTTCAGCTGATGTAGCCGAGATATCTAGTAAAGTAAACATTTCATTGATTATACATTCAAACAGACCATTACAGGAGTATCCTAAAATTTTTTTACAAATTTCATGTAAAAAATACTAAAATAACACAGTTATTACATTAAAAATCATTTACCCATAAATTTACAATATACAGTTGATGGCAAAATATTTTTCCATAAACTACTTAAAAGTAAAAGAATATTGTAACAATCACCAACACTTTTTTCCACGGAATAACTTAAATTTGTATTAACTGCCATTAAAAGAAGATCTACAACAAAACAAAATGTATGTTTTAAAAACTTTTTAATTAAAAAAATATTGAATCCTAAGATACACACCTGATTTACCAACAGTTTTTTCCATCAAACTTATATGATGCTTACATTGAGTGTGCAATATTTCACTAGCTAAATTTTTCAACTTCTCAAGTAAATGAACAATTAGAAGATTTTTATAAATTGGACTCATTTCTGCTAGCTTACGTGTAAAATACATAATGTTATTGTAAAGAATAGCTACAAAAAGGTATACAATTAATGACTAATAACAATAACTTTAAAGGTGCGCATACCTGATTGTTGAGGGTGCAGTTCTAATGTTTTACAATGTAGAAGGGGTATCATGTCACAATACATAATTGTAATATTATTAAGAATATCATGAAAACGCCAAGCACTGCTTTCTGATATACTTGACATTTCAGATGTAATAGTCTCTATAAGGCTTAGAAATTCTAGTAAAGATTTACTAAAAATAAATTTTACTATTAAAACACTTATTTTATAGAAAACAGCAAGTATAGTAAAATCATAAAATTAAAGTTAACTTACCTCACTTTGCTTTGAGGATAGGCAAACATTTTTTGACAAAATCCATTATCATCTCTGCTATCTTTGGAAGATTCCCAGCGACTTTCCTAAAAATGTTCAAAAATAATTTTAATACATAAAAGAAATCAATATCATTTTTAAAAATAAAGTACTTACATTGTTAACTTCAATAAGGTCATGCAAATCTTTTTTAATAATGTATCGAGCTTTATCATAATACATTTGACTAATTTTATTGAAAAAAATATTATCCATATTTTCTAAATTCTTTATCAAGTCATTATTTATTTCTTCAAATAATCCTAGAATGATTTTACATATTTTTTAAAAACATACAATCTATAAAAATTTTAACTGAAATACATACCTAATTTATTTAGATAATTATTAAACTCATAGACTTCCTTCAATTCTTCTTGGAAATCTTCAAGTAGATTATATTTGGTAGGTATAGCATTAAATAATGCAACATTGTTGAAAACATTACAAAATGGTTGATTTATATAAGATCCTAAATAAGGCATAAGTTTAATTTTATCAATATCAGATGGAAGCATTGTCTTTAAAAACTCGAATACTTTTTTAAGTTTCTTTATAATTGTAAATAGAAATCCATCATCTTGCTGAGAAACTTTCAAACTTAATGAAGAATAATGAATGGTTCGTGTAATAGAAATCTCATAATTATGAACAATAATAGGTTTAATTACTAGTTCAAGAAGCTTATTGCCAAATGATTTTATTTCAGCATTTAAAGCATCAAAATATCGCAAGGCATAAATAGTATCTTGAAATTCTTCTTCATTGCCTGTAATCTTTAATGTAATTTTACAAGAATCTGGTGCATCATCATTATTTTCTATCCATTCAATTTGATTTCTCCATGTTGATATACAATGGGAATGTAAAACATCTGTAAGTCTCATATGTTCACGCATTAAATGCTTATAACAATTTAATTTAGACAGATTTTCATTATTGGTCAAAATTTCTTTAGCAGTTTGTAAATTTTTTATTTTATCAATTAATAATAATTTGGTCTGACTATCGTTTGTGAGATTCATGCATACAAGAAGAACTTGTTCAATAATACTTAAGCTAAACTTGCTTTCTTCTAATGAACATTTAAACATCTTCAAATCACCTACAGCATCAACAACTTCTCGCTTGGTCTATAATTAAAAATACAACTTTAAATTTTAATTGCCAAGCATAATTATTCTGAATATACCTTAAATAGATTCAATATTTTAATAAATACTCGTATTATTACTAATAGTTTTACAAACCCAAAATATCTATTTATTATCTTTTCGAAGTAACCTCTGTACAAAGATTGTAAATCATCCAAACTACATAGTTAACTTACTTGGTTTTCAATTCGTGAAATTAAATTATTAATTTGGTTGGAATATGTCTGGGCAGTGTCTAATAATGAAGCAGCATCACGGGATACGACATTAAATTTCATGTAACGTTGCTCCATAGCATCCTTTATATCATATTCTAAATTTGTGATTTTATGTTTAAGTTCAGATACATTTTTATCCAAGTCAGTCATTTCGACTTCGCCTTTTAAAAAAAATATGAAAATAATAAAACAACAACTACATAAAATAATTAATTTCTTAGTATAGCAAAAAAACAACATACCCGCAGAGGCTAATACAGCGGCTAGAAAACTCATAACTTTTGGAATTTCCCAAATATTAAAAGAATATATTTATGAAATAAAAAAGTTAATTGTCAATTTTTATTTGTCATAAAGCGAAAATTACATTTTATACCGCGTAAAGTATACAGTTTGTCATTCTACTTCAAGATAATTGATAAGATTTTATACACGTTTTTAAATTTATCGGTTGTATATACTAATATGAAGTTGTATACTTTATGGAATAATTAATAGTGTAATAACTGATAGCATAGCTGAAGCTATTTTATACCTAAACAAAATCTCATCCTGATTAATAAATCGTTTTTGCAGTAATTGTGAACTATTTTTAAAGATAAAAATGAACCATATTATTCACTAAAAAATTTACAAGAATTTGTTATTCTATATATTGTAGGAGTAATTCACATAATGTACGAGGTAAAAATTATTTTAAATGTTTATTTCATTATTTATTAATTTTCATCGTTCTTATGTGATCATTAGCGATCACCTGCTATTTAATGGTATTCTTATTTTTGTGCATTTTAAAATAGATTTACCATTACAGAACACAATTAACTAAAAATATAATTAAATAGCTTGAATTTCTAATTTTGTTCTTGTAAAACATTTCTATTTAAAAATAAAATAAAATTTAATAAAACTATTACTTAGGAAGTGTAGTATCATTTTTTCAATTGCATAATTATTTCATCATATTAAAATTACAACTCGGTTTTTACTACATCATTAATTTCTAGATTTTTATTTATTTATTTTTTTTTTTTTAGAAAATTGAGAAATACTATTATTAACTTTTAAATCGAAAAACTCAATTTTTCATAAAATAAAATGTATTTAAAATATTTTTTCACATTAATGCTGGTAAAGATTGAATCATTAATGAGACGACTTGATATTAAATCTCAAAGCATTAAAATGAAAATTATTTTTAAATGGTTTGTTGAATATATATATAAATATGTAATTTACCCATTAAATTATTTTTTAATATATATAAATATGTATGTATTTTACCCATTAAATTATTTTTGAAATGTTGAAACAGAAATTGGTGTTTAACAATAAAATAATGAAAATTCGAATACAAATCAACCAGTTCTTACGCAAAAATGCGGAGTGTATTAGGCAACTACAATTACATAAAAATATGTTTTATTACATATTGTAGGAGTAATTCAAATAAAATACAAGTAAAAATTATTTTTAAATGTTTATTTCATTATGTATATACAAAAATAAATAAATATACGGAGAAGAAAATTACAAAAATAAAAAACATTTTCCTGAGACCATACAATATTATTGTTGAAGAACAAGCACTTGATTAAATTGTAGTCTAGATAAGTCAGTCTTTTTAGCCTACGTCTATTATTATACGCGCTTTTAAAAGTGTTCTACTTTCATTGTTTTCATTTCTTATTGGATAAATACAAATTCAATTACAATAATAATAATAATGACAAAAATGTTTATCATAAGAAAAAACTAATAACATTAGATTCAAGTTAAATTAATGTCTAAATAGTTAACAATACATAAATTATTATTATAAATTTAATCTGTAGTTTGCGAGATATTTAATGCAGAGTTTATTATAGACTTAAATTAATGAATTTTTAGTAAAAAAAAAAAAAATTTTCAAATTTACTAATATAAACTAACACAAACCCTATTCCACGGGGACTATGATCAGCTAATCATTACAGATGTCCATATTCCCGATGAAACTACATTTGATCTCACGGTTGATGAAAATCATAATTAATAATAATAATAATAATATAATAATTGAGGAGGAAATGTAAATCTTAATAAAAACAAAAATTTAACAATATAACTATTTTTTTATGAAGTTTTAAATAGTTAAAAAAAACTCTGCTACGATTGTCCCCTTGAACCAGAGAGAAATCTGAACAATATAGTGAGTGTGTTTTGTATTTTAATTAATAATGATAAGTTGTTGTTGTCTCCAACGAACAGTTGTTTGAGGCCAATACGGATGCCTGAGAGTGCTATGATGAAAGGTACTGGCTGCTTTTGGCACTGTGATCTCAAGATACATGTTTCTTTGTAAACCTGCAATAATAAGAGCGCATATATTTAATCAGTTGCCTTAAAACATTGGATAAATACAACAAAATGTGTAGTAAATATAATTGCCTATAATTTTGATCCCATCCGTCGACTTTAAATAATTGCCAGTAATCGCGCATTCGTGTGTACACTTTTGCGGGCCGGATAATTTTTACTCGAGTGTAATTTTTTTTTTTTCTTCTAGTTTCGGTCGCCTACGTTGAACGATTATCATCAAGCCCATCCCACGAACTTCCTGCGAATATATCGAAACGCACCTCCTTCACCTTATCTTAATCGTACATAGTTTGGACCGCGCATAAATGATGAAAAATTATTACTACGTATAATGCAATGTAAATATTTGTATTATTTACATATACATTGAACGATACCAGATAATATCAAATGAGATTTCGGGAGATACTCTCTTACACGTCAGCCGCGAGTACTTGCGACGTTTAAAAATACAAACGGCTGTCGAAACAACACAGTGTCTTCCGGTCCTAGAATATTGACCTACAGAAGAAGTCATCGATCCTGGCACGCGACCTCCGGTGTCGACCTGCCGATCCCTGCTGTTGCGACACGCGTACGCCGGTTTATAACTCAATTTACACGAATAATGTAATTATTAAAAGTATCATGTATTTATTTAATTGAAATTTCAGGTTCAAAACGAGATAAAAAAATATAATCGCGCACAAGTCATTTGCAATTAGCGGACCAGCCAGAGTTCAGAAAATAATTTCAACAAACACTTCAATATTAAAAATGAAATATATTTTATGGCTTACCTGAACTGAACATTTTTTGCGATGAGTTTACTTCGTCGGTCTTCCACTGCGGCATTAGTAAAGTCCGGTTGGGTCCAATTTTGGTCCTCCTCCGCACATGATGACGATGTCGATTGAGTAATTTAAAATAATTCGAAATAAAATTTTAATATTGTTTAGAAATATTTATTGATTTGATCTCGGCACGTTCACGATGCGTACAGGTCAGTACAAGCCAGTCGGATCCAGACCCATAGTTGATGATTGCAATGAAACGTTAAAATAAAAAAATTAATTCGGATTCGGTTAAGTCGTTAATTTTTTTTTTTAAACGTGAACACACTTCGGCAACGATTTAAAAATTTATTTAACTCAGTTGATGGTGTCGATCGGTGAAAAGCCGGTAGTAGACTGAGTGCTGTTGGTCGCATGCACCCCGTATTTATAATAGCCAGGTAAAAGCCCGGGAAATGATACACATACACACAACGACACTAGCAGGGACGACACTGAACGGACGGTCAGGGAATTAAATATATATTATATGTATGTATATAATTGTATATATATATATAACCGAACGCGACCGATGACTTGTGGCCGTGTGCTTTTCGTCGGTACGTCTGCGGCGATTTGAAAAGGTGTATGTGTCTGTCGGCTATTACGGAGTAACGAGCGGCGGCGGCGGCGCTCCCACAGGGCTTTTATTGTGGCGCATGCGCAGTGGCCAGTGTTTCCTCGACCCGCCCGTCATCACCTTGTCCGGCAGATACAGGGTGTTCCGTTCTTTTGAATCGTTAACCAAACGTCTCGTAAATTACGTCTTTTTAATGAATGGTACGATTTCTTACTCAAAATATTAAATAATTTTTTTTTTTTTTTTACAATTAAAACTTAACTGATATTTGCTCTCCTATGGTTGAACAAATCGAATAATAGTTTAAAACGACCAATTAAAATTTCTTAATACATTAACTATTAAATTTTAATATTATAGAAATGAGGTATTTCAAATTTTTCAGAACAATGAATAATTAAAACGCCACAAAAATTGGTTACTTGAATTAATAAACTCGTTAAAATTGATTTTTAACCAAACACTAAGTTTTTCAAATTATTGAAATTATTCATCATTCATTTCCATTAATTACTGGTACTAATAGAGTTATAGTCATTTTACTATGCAAAACCTAACTGCACTAATATAGGGAAAATACCAAGTGAATGATTCGGTGCTTAAACAACTCGGAAGAAACTTGTAAATGTAATATAAAAACAATGTGATTAAAATACTATAGTAAAATCATGTCTGGAGAGGTAATATTACGATGTAACTTTTTACGGTACACCCTATATAGCCAGGAGCACATTACGACCAGCAATGAACTGTCGTTCTAGGAGGAAAGGTGGGAACTAAGGGGGAACATAATCGAATCAGCTGTTCGTCAGCAGAGTCGTTAACCTACGTCAACGCGGAACACTGCAACTGACCCCTTCCGCTGTCTCGCGTACAGATCTTCCCCTCTCACCGCCGCCACCACATCCATCATCCACAACGCCTCTGGACTATGTGTACGACGCGTGCTCGTTCCGTCACCCCCGCAATGTAATGAATGGTCAGTTCATATATTAAACTCGATCGATAGCTGCTCGTACTGCCCAATACTTTCGCCCCCCCCCCTATTTTAACTATAAATATATTCGTATTAATTACCTTTTTTGTCTTACCCCAACAGCGTATCAATAAGCGCGTTGTGTAAGAGCCGGATCTCTACGTGCATCTGTTTGGAAATTCCTGTGTGAGTAATATGTTAAAAATTGGGTTACTTGTGTAATGTGTTTTTTATTTTTCTCTTTCAATCAATACAAAATCATTGTACGCTATTCAAAATTGTTTACGACGCACCATACTGACTGTCGGATTTTTACTTAAAGATATCGTCATCGCCAAAACCGTAAATTGGGGCATTGCGTTGTACATTAACCCCACCACCAGATACACTTGCAAAATAATCTCGAGTTTGGTTTAACTTGAATTTATTCCACTGACAAATGTAATACCTATCGTATACATAAGTTACGTTTTTTTAATCGCATACAATTATTATTGCCATTATAAAACGTTTAACTATAATATACGTGACCGAAAATTAAACTTTCATAAATAATTCTACACAATTATTTGCAAATTAGTTCTAATAATTTGAATTCTAAGAAAAATTATGATGTCAAATAGAGAGCACAATATTTTGTAACTTTTCGTCAAATATATTGTTTTTAATATAAAAACAATATATTTTTTATTTTAATATGATTCAACAATACATTTGATATTCAAACTCATTCGACCGTATTTTATGCAAAATCTATTCCATTTCAAGAATGAAGTAATAACCCTCCTACGATACTCTGGTAAATTTTTAATGGAAAGTTTCATTTATTAAAATACTGCAAATTTTTTTTCTTCGGCCGTTTTTAATTTGCGATTATTACACTTAACCCAAGAAGAGAAAATGATACATCGTAAAGTCCGTACCCATAAGTAGTGAACTATTAATTTTCTTCTATTAACGTTTTACTAACGACATCTTACTAATTGAATTTGTTCGTATAGCTCTGCGTTCGTGTATATTACTGATATATTAGTATAAACCAATCGACTAATTGTTAGTTTATAGTTACCGGTAATGGCTTACATACTTATTACCTTTAATTGCTTGTATTTCATTGATCATTCATTTCACACGGTAATATTTAAGCGTTGACCGATAGAAATACCCCAGGCTATTCACAGTAAAATTCTGGTCTTTTATAATTATTGCCTTTAACATTAGCGTTGTTCGGGCCAGCCAAACATTGTGAGAACATTTTACTGAAATATGTAAAACTGTTTGAGTACTCGTTTCTTTTGTCATCAATTTGAAATTTAGAACGTCAACCAGACAAGTGATATCCGTTGACCATAGAAAAACTGCAATAGTAATTACCACACGCAATTATTATTCACAATGTTCGTTGGATATATAAATGAATGAAAAATCATTAACCAAACTTCATATTATCCAAATTGTTTTCTTGCGCCGGATAGATGCCTCGGAATTGAAAATATCCACAACGAGAGAACAACACAAATAAATGCAGTTACATGTGATTATAAAACTTAAAGATAATACAGATGCAGTCGACAACATGGGCGGTGAGCGGCCGAGAAATAGTATAAGACCTACCAATTAGACCTTATTGCAGATAAAATTAGCTAGCGATTTTTTTAAATGTGGGAAAACGTTGAACCTCCGAACTCTGTGTATGGTATAATTTCAAAGTTTACATCACAAACACTTCGAAAGATTGGTTTTTTAGTGGGTTTCAATATTTATTACATGTCTATCTAGCAATTTGATAATAGTAAACAGGCAACCGCCTGTGGCTCTGACCACTATTACAATAATCAAACGGTTTTATGAATTGCACTTTTTCTATTTTTTATTTTTATCATTATTTATCACATTTTATATATTTACGGACAAAAGTTGGACCGGTTCATTAGCCATCTGACCAAAATCACAAGTTAAAAAATTGTTCTACAAAAGATAATAGTAAAACGCATAAATATTTATCGAATCGATTCATGCACGCGGCAATTTATTTAATGACGTGTGCAATATATTTACATAATATAAATATATGTAATTTCTTATAGATTTTTTATTTAACGGGTGTGTATAAATAAATACCGCGTACGCACATCTGTCAACTCGTTTACGGCGTGCATAGGTACACAAATAATTATTACACGCAACATAGTTGTTGTGTGTATGAATATACTAAGCTCGGTGATTTATGCATTGCTAAAATTCAATCGATTTACTTAAAAAAAATAAAAATTAGTCGGTTTCTGTGTACTGCAAATTCGTATTGTTTGATTTACGACGTTGTTTGGTACGAGTCGTGCATTTTCTTAAAATGTCAGGTGAATTTATTTTTGCGGCGGGTACACAGACTTGAAAATATATTTTTCAGCTTTAGACAGTGATTACCCGGCATATTGTTCTTCGACTTAACTAAGACGTATTGTTAACATAGAATACACGAACAATCATGTTTATATTCTTCTACTGAATATTATAATATGTTGTGCCAATTAGTCGGGCAGGTACCCACTACGATTCACAATAGACATTTTCGCTACCGTCTAAACAAAACGAGTGTAGTGCACCAACCTATTCACCAAAAAAAAGCAGGTTATCATTTGTTTGCTAATTGTCGATTTGAAAAATTGCCAACAAATAAAAAAGATTAATGATGTCACTTTTAATAAATGCAACTGGGACTCTAATGAGAAGAGTTCTTTAAACTTTGGACTAGAATATGAAATTCTACGGCCCAGAAGTGTTCAATTCCCAAATATTATACACGGCATTTTTGCTTACTATAGGTCATGTGCAAGCGGGAAACTGTAACAATTTAAAAAATTAACTTTATGTCGAAACAACACAGTGGTTAAATTTTTTTAGAACTCTGGCGAGATCGTTTTTTGCCAACCAAAATTTATACTTGAAATTTGAAATTTAATGATAATTTTACATTAAACAAACTTTTTTCCCGGTTTAACATGTAATACATTCATTTTTCAATGAAAGTACATTCAACAGTTTCAAATTTAATGGTTTATTTTTTTTTTCACAAAGACTTGATAGAATTAAAAGAAATAGAGATACTCTTGTTTACCTATTTGGTTTTGCTTTTCTCGTGGTGTAGGTACAAGACTGTCACATCAAATTATTCACCTAGTCTTTGAATTATACCGCCAAATATATTCTTAATATTGCAATGGTACGGTTGATGAGTACCTGATCACACGGTGAGCCCATACGAAGAAATTTAGGTACGCATATTCGCCAACAACATCCGAAAATCGCCTTTGATCTCTATGGGCAGCGGATGACCAAAGTCCCATCGAGTGATACTTGACTCCTTTAGACGTGTTTTCTCACAGGAATGATACGGATAGCTGTGTTGGTATTAAAAAAAATCATATCAAAGAACAAGTAATAGAAAGGACTTGGATATTGTGACGCAGGGTCAAATTTCTCTAAAAGGATATCAAAAATCGATACAATGGAATTAATCTTATTCTTTACAGGATAAAATGGGACGTTACGTATGCGATAAATCTAGCCATTGTGTTTATATGTGATTTTTTATCCGGCCGTCCTTTCTAAAAGGTCTTGGAAATGAATTTTGTTTGTATAAATATTTGATTTGCGCCACTACTCGGTTGATTTATAGTGATCCCGTAGTCAGCCTAATTTGTGGTTGATTCAAAATCCGATGTACCACGTCGTGTTTTTTCCACATCTCTTTGGGTTCGAATCCGTTACTTTTACCTGGAAAACAGTGGATTTTTTTCACCGGGCAAGGATAGCGCACCAGGGCGGATGTAGATATTTTTTCATTCGTTTATTAAATGTAAGTCTCGACTTCGTGTGTGTTTTCGTGTTTGATATATTGATAATACGTGTTTAATAAAATACAGACTCATTTCGATTCGTTTCAGAGTTTAGACGGTATTTATTCATTATATTATAGAGAATGCATAATGGGCAGGCAACACAATTGCAGTGTGCTTCCTACCGTTCCTTCTTCTCAGTGGAACTGAGAAAAATTTGCCGATTGTGGTGCATGCGCATATTATCTACATAAAAAACGTTACATACTATGCCTCATGGCTTTGTACATTCTATTAATGCGCATTCATATGACTGATACTACATTGGCACTGACAGCGAACGATCACATTATGTCAGATGCAAAATTGTACGGATTGCGAAAGGCCGCGGTACGTATCTTGCCGGGTCATCCACGTGTACGTATTATTCGCTCGTGATAACATATTTTTTACTATTAGTGCCAAAATGAATTGTTAAACCTCATATGTTGCACGTTTGGTGCTCAAAAAACAGCTACATCATTACTTATCATGACCACGTTCTTTTATTTTACTAGGAGGTGGAAAAAGTTCAAAATCCCTTTTAGAAAAAGATAATTATTGATTTCTGAAAATTAACGATAAATGATCCACGTGTAGAACTTCCATTAATAAATCAACTACAGGTCAATATATCCGAAACTATTATTATGAAATCATTAAATATTAATTATAACAGCTAATTCTTTTCATTATTATTCTATTAAAGACAGTACATCATTCTAAATGAACAGTTTACATTTTCTAATGAGGTTTATTTCACCGCGTAGTCATATAGTTATATTTTATTTATTTTAATTTTACTATGATGTGTTTTTTTTTATATGACGCATTTCAATAATTACAAAACAGATTTGTAGTTATTATTTCATTTTTATTTTTATGTATTTATTAAGGAAAATACTTTTGATTTGAGGTTAAATTTTTTTATGAAAAATAATGTACAATTTATGACATTCTCAAATTGTATTTTTCATTCGAGGGAAAAACATTTGATATCTGCTGACAGATTTTCATTAAAGTCACAAGCTTTTAAATTAGTTTTTTTTATAAAAATTGTTCTTTTTTAAATTAATTTTAGAAACAATTTTTAAACGCAAAATCATTTCATACATCCGATCATATTCATCTTCAAGCAATAGCCGTGATACGTGTATGGGTACTACACCTTAAAATGCTAATGACTTTTCAAATACCTTTTCAAAGCCGGTTACTACTGACTTATAATTTTTGTTTATTTTTGTATTCGTTTTAAAAATGCAAAAAACATATTTCGTTGTTATTTAAGTAGCATAAGTGAACCTATTAAAATATTAAACTAGACAGAATTTGACGATCGACAGGCGTCAAAAAATTCAAATTAAAAGAAAACTTATGCGGATCGCGTTGAGCAATCTTAATTTGCGATTGTATTTGCGCCAGCTCACGTGTATGTGTACACAG